CTTCTCTCTGCCGCTGTCTCGTCTCTTCTTCTGTGTTTCTCTCCCTGTATCGCTCACTCGTCTCTTTCGCCCCCTGTCGGCAGCGGTTAAAATAGAATCGCCCCGTCAAAATTGAAATCCCCTATTAATGTATTGATTATAGGTCTGGGTCCGTATAGGTCGGCGTCTGGGTCCGGATCCGGACCGCGGTCCGCCTGTTGCCGACCCCTGCTCTAGAGTCTACACTGTCGTTATCACCCCGCCTACAGCATTAACACTTATCCAGTTGTGCACAGAACCTAATTCATACGTGTGTGTATATTTCAGGGCTGGTCATCTTTACCTGGCTCTTTTCCACAGACGCAGTGTGTTTGTCGCACATGGGGCTGATCTCCATCCCTCGCTCTCTCTCCTTATCTCCCTGCCTGAAGAACTCCTCCATGATCCTCTCCGTCCATTGTCGATACACAGCCAGGGGTTTCGTGGGATTGCTTAGGTCAGCACAGTGCACCATGTTCCTTAACACCTGCATAAACACAGAGGAATATTTTACACAATATACACATCAAGTATCAAGCCCTAAATGCAGATTACCATGGAGGTCATTAACACAAATTCCAGTAATTATTTCAACACATAAAGTGTGGTTGTGCTATTTTTGGCGGGATTGTATGTTTTTTTTGTATGTTTATATTTGCTAGTATAACTCCAAAATCCAATTCCCTGCCTTAAAAAACGTTCTTAACGATATTCTGTTATTGAAAGATTCTGAATTTACAGTAAAATTGCATATGTTAGATACACAAACATTTCCATTAATGCATGTCCTTTTCTATTCCTGCTGATGGTTTTATTACCTACTTTGGGAAGTATATCATGTTTAAAAAGCTGCCACCAATTATGACTTCATGGAGTCTGGCTTAAATTGTTCTCTTGTCTCTCTTCAGAAAGTTGCAGAAGCCTTTAGCACAGAAACCTCCTGCGATGCTAAGGAGCAGGAGGTCAAAAAACTACAGACGAGAGATGTTCCTTTGATTCCTTTCATAAACCTGAATCAAAAGATTCCCAAAGAAATACCTGGTGGACCTCCATCAGTCAGGAATAAAAGTGGAGTACTGAACCATCCATTTAGATGACAACAAAGAAAGACTTTTCCTGGGCTTACTCTTGCAAAGACAAGAATATCTTGGGATGTTCTCTTCCTTCCATTAACGGCCATCTAAATGAAAGCTTATATTCCCTCATTTCTGCGTGGTTGACATCAACCAGTCCATCAAATGCAAAATCTTGCCCCACACAAGATCTCTCTGTTTTCATTGACAACATAAAGAAGCACCTACTTCATCCATCAAATATTCAAGAAGAACAGTCCAATGCACTCTTACTGTCATAAAACTAAAAAGCCACAAGTAAGATGGCTACAAGGTTTTTCTTGTCAAGTTTGACCAATCATCCGAAAATGTACAAACATTGTCCATGTTTTTAGAATGTAACTATGTAATATCCTCTAGATTACATAATAGTTGTACCTTCTGCCAAAAGAGTGCCTTGAACCTTTCTTTTTTGACCTTACTTATAAATGAACTGAAAGATGAGGTCTCACCTGTATCCTATCATTGTAATGGTCAAGCAGCAATACTCCAGAACTTGTCACTTTCTTCGTTTCCACCATAGTCTTGAGGTCGGCCAGCAAACTCATGTGTTTAGACATATCTGTTGCCAAAACCTGGGAAAACAATTGAAAACATTATAAAGGGGTGCGTAGCTGAGTGAGAGCTTCATAATTCAAGCCTGTGTGCTGACAACACTCACCATGTCAATGACAAGTTTCCTCAGGCTCTGTCTCTGCCTCTTGCTCAGGTTCTGGAAGATGTCACAGTTGTCTTCATGAAGCAGCTTGAAGCCCACAGCTAGGTGATGGTTCTCCAACACAGACTCATCGTTGTACATCAGGGCTAGCTCTGAATCTGAGGGAAGCACCATCCAACACTTACGGTAAGTCAAAAACACATACAGTTGTTCCCCCATCTGGGTTAGAATCAGACTGTGGTGGCACTGTTCAAAAATGTACAACTACTCAGTTGATTAAGGAAGACGCACAGTGCTATTTATGCTCAGAGACAATAACTTCAATTTACAACTAGAAAAAGCACACAAAATGCAACACGATTAGAACATTTTAACTCAGTGGAGTGTATTATAAACATTAGACACCACAACACTAGAAAAAACTATTCAATACAGTTATAAAAACACTATATTACAATAATACTTAAAATAGCAACATAAAACTAATTGAGTGTCTTTAAATGTCACTACTTCAATTTATTTCAGATCACGACACAATAATTAATGGTATGTGCAGTATTGTCACATAAAATGATTAGAGTTATCATTTGATTTAGAGGATGAATATATTTTGTTATTAGGAAACTAAAAAAAAAACTGACATGATAAATACTTGAAAGAAGAGTTGAGAAACAACATTCAAATTAAGCCTTATGTGTAAAAGGTTTTCTCAGAATAGCTAACCTAGCAAAGTGGCCTCATCTAGTTCCTACATAGTGGTTCTAAGCTACCTGCCTTGTGGTCTTTTTAAAATCAAGAGACTCAAAGATTGCACCTGTCATTATTTTATTGGATATTTGATAGCTTGCCTCCTTTGTTGAGACTAGTCTTGGGGAAATACATCACGTATCTGGTGTATTCACTTCTGAAACCCTTTAGCATCTCTGCAAAAACAGCTTTTTGTTTTTCATCATCATGTCTGTTGTTTTCTATTCTTTCTTTCTGAATTGAAATGTTTAAATGTGCGTCATTTCGACTCACTTGTGTTTATGAGGAATTGGTTGGACACTCCTGGATGGTCCACATCGTGGATGGCAGCCGCAAATAACGCAGCTAGTATCTCTAGATCAGTGAACACAGCCTGTCAGAGAGAAATAAGAGAACAAAATCATTTGTAAACTGTTGTTTACACTTTACCTTTACTATTTTATCATTTGAGGGCTTGGTATTTGTGAAGTTAGATGTGTAGAGGTATTTACATCTAGAGCCGGCGTGGATAGTAGTACATGAGTAGACTGAGTGACATCTGCAGCGTGGAGGCTGTTGTGGTAGGCCACGTTGGCATGGTAGTGGTCCTCCAGGGTCATCACATAGGTGACAAACGTATCCACGGGGATCCGAAAGGTATTTAGCAGATCTCTTTCCTACAGCCACATGGTCACAGTTAAGTCAGGCTACATGATATACTGTACAACCCATTGTTAGTGAAAGCTCTTTCCCCGTCCCTCACCTGGAAGATGGAAAACATTATGCAGCTGAGGGGTCTGTTATTAGAGAACTCCGCCACACGGAAGATATTAAGGCCCCACATGTTTAAGTCAGTCAGCTCCTGAAGGCATAACAGGAAACATTAACACATGTCACTACAACAATCATACTTCAGTTGTTTGTTCTTCATACGGCTGAACACATTTAATATCAAAAACACGATATGGATTTGTGAAATATCCAAATCACAGGAGGCAACATAGTTGTTATGTAAACATATCATTTAGAGTTAAGTCTTGTGGTTTTCCTCCCTAATTCTTTAGTTAGATTAAAATGATGTTGTTTGAAACATGCAGCATGCACCATTTTCTTTGTGTTATATTGTGGATCTTGCCAAATGAGTTATTAGTTTCTCTTCCTAAGTAAATATTGTTCTCTAATATTGCTCTAATCCAAGACCAATGTCAACAGGATGTTTACAGGTGATGTCTGACATTATGATAACAGTGTCTGTTTACATAATCGGGTATTCCGATGGTCAAAGAAAGCTAGTCACATATGTCCTGAACTGCATGTGTGCATAACATAATTAATTTAAGATGTAGAACATGTAGAGATGATAAACAGGAAATACATGTCAGGATTTTGGATATCTATGTAGTTGATGTTATCTACTCTGTGGGTTTTTAAGAAGAAGATACACTTTATTAATCCCTTACAGGGACATTTCTTTCCCCACTCTGTTGTGTTTCACTCATTACACACACAGGGGAGGATATACATGCACAAACACAGAGGATATACATGCACACACACAACCACATGCAGATAGGAGAGGTGGCAGAGCAGGGAGGCTGCCAGGTACCCGGCGCCAAGGGAGCAGTTTCGAGGTTAGGTGCCTTGCTCAAGGGCACCTCGGCAGTGGCCTTGGAGGTGAACTGGCACCTCTCCAGCTACCAGCTCACTCCATCTTTTTTTGGTCCGATCGGGACGTGAACCGGCGACCCTTCGGTTCCAAGACCAAGTCCCTACAGACTAAGCCACTGCCGCCCCAACACACGACACATTACTCTGTCTAGGCAATCATTTGCCAGCTGTTTTTCCATTTAGTTCAGTTCAGATCTTTTTTGTCCCAAATTAGGGTTTTCTGTTGCGTCAAGACAGCAATAAACCTAAATGTTAAACAAAATAAAAACTGGGGATGCACCACTCCAACTTTTTCAGTCCAGATACCTCAAATCTTTCAAATCAGCAGTTATTCTACATCTTTGTTGAATACTCAATTCTAACCTGTGTTTACAGGTTTAAACAATCACATTTATTGTATAGACTTATGTAAATAGTATATAAACATAACATTGAATTGATCTCAGCTTTTTGAGTCGGTATTGGCCTTGATATGGGTGCATTCTTAATAACAACACAGTAAGATGAGGATGTATTTACCCTGTCTAACGCATCCTCGTGTTCAGTCTTCACGCCAAACCGAGGCATGGTGGAGTTTGAAAGGCTGGAACTGTGCGTGAGCTTCTTCACACCGCTGATGTGACACATGGGCTTCTCCCTCTCCCTTAAAGTCGGGGATGGGATCTCCACGTCGTTCTGCTTATCTGGGGAGGGGAAGGGGGGGGGGCAAGAGTCAGAGGTCAGCCAGGAGGGAGATAACACTATAAGGGACTGTAAAGGTTGATCACGGATGAATGGCAGGTGTGCTTTACCTAGAAAGGTAGTGGAGATGTATTCTGACACCTGGTTCCCTGAGCGACTCATCTCTGACAAATGGGACAGCTCCCTGTTCAACATCCTCTTGAACTAAGGGAGGACGGACAGACACAGGAAGTGAGCGACTTGACTTACAAAGAAACAGAAAGTCAAGCAATATTATTATTATTGTACAATCCAATTCCAATTATGACTTACACATCACAACAAAACGTACTTTGGGTCAAATGTGAGACGAATAAATGATCACCCTGACTAGTGTGAGAAAAGCAATGATGAATCACGCCTTCTCTTTTTGAGAACATACTGGTCAATACCCCTAAATGTAGTGTGCCTTCATTTTGAAATGTATTTAAATGCTGCAGTATTGTGGCATTGTTATACATATTCTTCTCCCTACGTTCATGAACAACTAGTCTGCAGTTCCTTGCAGTACAGACACAAATGTGATTAAGCGAATACATTATCCCTGCAGTCAAAAAGCACAGGATGCTCTCTCAGATTTCATGTCATTATTGTATTTCTAAAGGGATCAAGGTGGCGTTGGAAGGCTTCATAGAGAATCTGTTGCACAAGTCATGTGAAGGCGACAATACGATTCGGACAAGACCCCTTTCAGTCTGTCTCCTGCCGACTGATCTTTCACACATAACAATCTCCACGGCAACCGCTCTGGTTGCCGTGGAAACTGCCTCCTCACAGTCAGTCCTTCAGCTCGATGTGAGAGCGGTGGCTGCTTGGGTGACAATCTGAGGGAGTAGGCAGGTGTCTCTGACCTTTACCAAGGTCAACCCTCCCCTCCTCTGCCATCCTCCTCTCTTCATCTCTCTGTTACTTATATCTGCTCCTCCTTCCCTATCGCGGTAAACAACACTCCACCACCGCTGCCCTCAAGCCCCCCAAAATCCTCCCCTGTCTCAGGCTCCACTTTGCCTTCCTGCCATTTCACACACTTCATGCATTTCCCTCCATCTTTTACTCTTTCAATAATCTTTTGTTCCCATTTATTTCCCATCCCATTCAGCCTTGCACCAGTTACAACGCCAAAGCGAATAGGTGCTCTAACAGCAAACCGTAGACGCAGTCAGGCAGAATCAGTCACCAGGAGCCAGGAGAGGAAGACAAGCCCCGTGGCACACTTCGGCAGCAGGCTCAGCCCAAACCTCCTCCTCTCTCAGTGCTCTCTCTCGTTCTTCCCTTCCCTAATGCTGTAACGCTGAGTCATAGCTGCCAACCAACACTTCCACGGTGCCAGTCCGAGTGCCAGGACAAACAACACTCTTCCTCTGACACTGACTAATGAAGCAAACATGTGAACGCTGCACAGACATGACCACACATTGTAACTGCCTACGATCATGAATAACAATAGCCAAATAACACACATGCTTAAGGGGCCCTTTCACTGGACTACTACATCTACAAGTGATTGATTGAGACTGCACAAATAAAAGCAGAGACAAAGCGTGCATATCTTTGTGTTCCCAATGTTTTTCAGGAGAAAATGATCACAAAAGCCAGACTTTGTTTTGCTAACACCATACAGTACCATTTATAAAGCCAACTTGACATATCGAAGCCAACTGACACAATGTCTAGCTTTATACATTTGATGGATATAACTCAGTCCGGAGACAATAGGCATTGTTCTTCACTGACAATACGCCTGGCTTCTTTGAGTCTGTTTTGAGGCCAGCCTCAGGGTAGCAGGAGAGAGACACAGAGAGAAGTGGGACGCAGGTGTGGAGGAGGGAAATGGACATTATGTGACACTGCAATATACCTGCAGTAAAAACGGCTAGACTACTACACAAAGTCCCAAAGCTATTTCCGAGACTTTAAGCAGCTCGGTGAAATCTCAAAAGGAGAGAAATGCAGACCATGTATAGAAGGATGAAGTATGAGTTTGATATTGTCTTTTGTTTACAGTGCTGCTGCTAGATGTAATAAGCTCTGTGCCTTTTTCCCTGTTCCCTTTCAACGGATTCATGCATAACTTATGTACAGGAACACACTGCCTAACAGTTTCCCACAAAGCCACTGTCAGACCCACAATCCTTCACCACATACATTCAGTTCATAATTAGCCAGTCCCAATGTAGCACCATTATAAACAAACAACACCATTACTGTTGGATACAAAAAACAGACAAATAAGAACATGGAGAAGGCAAACAGAAGAGTTGTTAAGGCATGTTTAGATGTCAAACGTGGGCATGAATCCAAGATGGCCACTGCTAAGCCTTGTTTGCCCTCTGCAAGCCTTCCAACCCTACCTGGTCCCACCAACCGATGAGCCAGGGCCTGGAGCAGGTTTCACAGAACAGGTCGACTAGGGGCGTCCTGCGCTCCGCCGCCGTCCCATTCCCCTCCAGAACCCCTCCAGCTGCACCCAGGTCCAGCTCTGCCCCTGCCCTCCCCTGCAGGGGGCTGTAGCTGGAGGAGCGGGGCAGCCTGTAGCCCCCTGGTACAGGCGAGGGGCAAGGGGATGGCTCCGGGTCAATGGCCTCTACCACACCCATGTTGAGGGTCACGGGGGGTTTGGGCCGATGGCACAGGCAGGAGGTGCGGTAGTGGAGCGGAGCGGGGGCGCTGTGTGTGCCCCAGTGGCATGAGGGCGTCGGCAGGGTGTGTGAGGAGAGGCCACAGCTGGTCAAGCCGGGACACTCCAGAGTGACGGCTGCCCCGAGTGGGGGGCGAAGGAGCCGGGGGGGGGAAGGGGGTGACGGTAGGGGTAGCTGGTGCAGACTGGCCTTGCCTACATGCAGCACCCCAAAGCAGGCCCCCCAGTCAGTCCAGAGTCGGGCTCCAGCCTCAATGTGGTCCGAAGATGAGGGTCCCCCTGATGGGCAGACCAGGAGCCCCCTGGATCCGGCTGCTGTGGAGACTACATCTCATCCCATTTGCTGAGCAGACTGTCCCAAATCTAAAGTCACTGCAAGGTAGAGGTGGATGGGAGCCGAAAGAGGGAAGATGGAGGGAAACGAAAAGAGAGAGGGAGCGAGGGACCGTCTGAAGGGCACAGAGAGGAGCCGAGGGTGGAGAGGAGTGAGGATGTGAGAGAGATGTCAACGGAAAAAATGGTGTTGCGAGGGCAGAGCTGCTTGACAAACAGTAATAAAAAATTCAGATGATGGAGGTGAGAGGGACGGAGTGACGATGGCGGTAGGACAGAAAGATGACCATAGTCTCAGATGATGGAGGTAAAGGGAGCTTGGATGACCACGGGAACATAGGGGGGAAGGAAGAAGGGACAAACATATGACATTAGCAAGAGCAAAACAAGAATGGAGAGGATGAGAGAGAGAAAGAGAGAGAGAGGGATGCAGGCAGGCCTGTAGCAGACAGTCAGGCTCAAGAATCACAGTAGGGCTCTGGTCTGGAAAAACAGGCTCCCTCTCCCTGCATCGACTGCCCCTCCCCCACGGTACGGATCCAGAGGCCCGGCCCAGTCCTACCGGAGCATCAACCTGCAGCCTGTGCCGTCTCACACTGATCCCAGCAACACACAGTCAGTCCACAGTCAGACAGTCTGCCTCCTGATAGCTCCGTATCCCAGTCCCCTGCTCCGAGTCAATCCATGCCTCAGCTGGCCAAAAAGCCAGAGGTCTAATCCTGCCGCTTTAGGCTGCCGTTCCTCCTCCAATGCTTTGCCTCTTGCGCCATTTCCCTGGATGCTGTAGACAGCTCTCGCAAGCTAATCAGGCAGTGTGGCTGCAGGCGCATGCATGTGTGTGTGTGTGTGTGTGTGTGTGTGTGTGTGTGTGTGTGTGCGTCTGTGCTTGCTTCTGCTCTCAGCCTGAGTGCGCATGTGCGACAAGACAGCATGTACGTCTGTTGAAAATATGTGTGTGTGCAAGGGTGTGAATAAGAGTGAGAGACTGAGTGGGAATATTCATGTGTACCTCCATGTTGGCACAGTGTGGAGGATTTCTGTAGCTTAGCTGCGGCTGTGAAAAGGCAGCGACATATTCACAGAGACTCTAATCACCCCAGGAGATTTCTCTGCACACATTGTTTGTGCACACACATGAATGATGTCCTTTCAACCCATCTCCTATCATCTCTCCCTTTGTCCTTTAATCAAAAGCATGACTGATTAAAAAAGGGAATATTGTCATTAAAATGGATGTGCAACATTGAAAGAATATCTAGAATAAAACAAACAAGGTACATGATGCTGTCTCTTTAAGACAGAACACTATTAAAGGAGCATCACCTCCATTTCATTGGTTGCTGCCCAAACCACATGGCTTGTGGTCAGAGTGGCAAGCCAATGACTAAAAGGGAAGGGCAGACCCTGCTGCTGTTCTATAGCAACCAAGGTTACAGCAGAGACATCAGCATCAGGACCCTCTCCCCCTCCCTGTCATGTCCTCCATACCCACAGTCCTTACTCCCTCTCTCTCCATCCTCGAAACCCCCACAATTACAAATGCAGGCACACTTAAGAAGCCGCCCATGAGCACAAATGCAGGCGTGTAGATGCCATAATGCAAATTCAATACAACCTGCCTGCATCACTTGCAGTTGTCACCACAAATGCTCATCTAGACATCATCAGCGTTTAGTCTAACATGGATGATATTCATTACAATTACAACCACAGGATTGCACATAAACCAAAGATACTTAATAACAAAGAATGACTGCTTTTATTGAACAACTCTTGGTTTAGTGACATCTCTAGCAGAAAATGTTTTACCATTTATTTAAATTGTTAACCTTGGTGGATCTGTGTTACATGTATGTATTTGTAGAGTGGAACCTGATCCTCATGAAGTGTTGAACTGTACTCTTTAACCATGAAATACACAGTGTATAGGTCATTTATGAACAAGCTCAGCTCCACACTGAGTTAACGTAGAGGTGTTAGTGTGTGTGGACAGGTGTGCACCTTATTGGAGGCCATCTCGCTGACGGAGCGGTGAGTCTGAATGGTCTCCAGCTGATCCAGACACCAGTCCAGTTCCTCCAGAGTCTCCCGAGCCATCTGCTGGTATGTCTCATCTGAGGACGAACACACAAAGACACACACAGACATTGAACAAACTAGCAGTAGAGAAAGGGCACAGAAAGTGGCATCAAAACTTGACGACCTGAGAGAATACATTCTATTTTAAATGAGCTGTGACTGTAAAGGTCCTGCAACCCAGAAAGGTGGTTAACAATAAGAGTTGACCAATGTCCACCTTGTCTGCAAATAATAGAGAGTGTTTACATGGCTGTTCAACAATACAATTCAAAATGAAATGTGCTTCTACTCATTGATTGATAACACAACATGCGAATCAAAGTCACTTGTGTCATGCAGTCACTTTGCTTCTTTTTTTTCAATATATTAAATTATATTCAGCTGAATAACACAAACAAATGTTTTGTATTAACACGTAAATAAACCTCTAACATTAACAGCTCTAATTTGGCATATTTCTAGTTATTTTTTATTTCCTGATTGTTGTTGTTAACATTCTTTTATATTTGTAATATTAATCAACACAGTTGGCATCTATTTTAAATTATGATTAGTATCAGATGGAAAATGTATTGACAGGTTATTTGTATGCTTTATGAGTGTGTGTGTGTGTGTGTGTGTGTGTGTGTGTGTGTGTGTGTGTGTGTGTGTGTGTGTGTGTGTGTGTGTGTGTGTGTGTGGGTGTGTGTGTGTGTGTGTGTGTGTGTGTGTGTGTGTGTGTGTGTGTGTGTGTGTGTGAAAGGTGCTATAATAAATAAACGTATTATTATTATTATTGTTATTATTATTATATACAGTTCAGATAAAAGGTTCTGGAGAGTGAAAAATAAGCTTTGCAAAAATGTCCTTTGAGTAAAAAAAGATTAAACTCTCTAATCATCAGCTTTATTTTTTATAACACATATAATTCTTTCAACTTTAGCAACATATGTTGAGTAATTTAATATCTGTCCAGTGTGATAAAATGTATGCAGTATACTTTTATTTAAGAAAATACTCAATACTGATACCACATAATGTTGTGTGCTGCTCTGCAGTCATTCCCATTACTGATGATGCATTCAGGGAGTGTGGGAGCCAGAGTGTGTCCTTACAGCTCTGTGAGGGGACTGTGGGACTTTTTGCACTAAGAGTTTTAATTAGCTGACAACCTACCAGAGAGTGTAGCTTGGGGAACAGTGGGCTGGCTTGTCACTGGTGACCTCCTGTGGACAAACACATCATTACATGAGAGGCAGAAGCACACGCTGCTGCCCCCTGCTGGGCTTCCACACACTTTCAGCATTACAGAAGGAAGCAACAAAAGGCATGGCTCACAGAGGCGATATCAATATATTAATGTATGTTATTCATTTATATGTGTCTCAAAAGAGACAAATGGGGCTGTGCTTTCTAGATCCTTGAATAGAGGCCATTGTTTCACTTCAAATATTAAAATATCCAAAAATAGACAAAGACAATGCCTGAGCCCTGTTCTCCTTTCAAGTAGCCTTTTTGGTTTCATAATTGTGTAGTAAGTGAGGCTGAATAATTATAGATGCTGATAACTCTGTGGTGCATTGGTTTATATATATCATATTGACGTGGAGATAAAAGGCTGCCAAGTCGAGCTCCTTCTATCTGCTGCATAACAAAGGAGAATCATTTTAGTGTTACTGACTATCTCTATCGTCTAGGTAGAGTCAGGGACATACATCTGAGGCATGCTGCACTCAGTGTTCAGCCAGCAAGTTGGAGAGATGCCAAATAATGCAGATCATATTTTCCTTGAGCACAGCCGGATAATCATAAACTGTTTAATCATGATGGCAAAAGTGTTTCCCCTCGGGAGCGAGGAGAAGGAGACATTAGCAAACACACAATGCAAACTAAGCAGGCAGTCGTGACGAGTGCAAGTGGGGGGAAGGGGTGTTTGACAGCATGATACTGACTTGTTAGTGGTTGTTGTGACATTGGCGAGGATGGTGAAGTTGCTTCTTACAGTTCGTAGGCTGGCCAACACCTGGGGGATGGATGGACAGCGTAGGAAGGAAAGAAGGAGGAGGGAGGAAACAGGAGGGAGGGCAAGTTCACTGCACCAATTAGCCACCTCTTCTAGTCATTTACGGCAATTAAACATGTCAGATCAGGTGCCAAACATACCTGAGCGAAAGGGGTGACGATCATGTCTTCGGCGTGCCTGCAGGACAGAATACGCAAAGAAAGAGCCAAATGAGAGGAATGGATGTGAGGTGTTTGGTACTCGGTATCAAGTGTTTATCTGAGAGGCTGCATCTGTGAGCTGCATGTTTACAAAGACCTATGTGGATCCAAACACAGAAACAGTCCTAATATAAGCTAATGGAAGAGTCTGGGTGTGTTAAACTTACTGGAGGACAAGCCAGGAAACAGGAGAACAACAGTTCATGTTGAGGGGACTCATCATGATTTCATTAGCATAATGATTGCATAATTACAATCATAACCACTGCTGTGTTGATTGGGATGATGTGCACTTACTCTGTGTGTGTGCGTGTGTGTGCGTGTGTGTGTGTGTGTGTGTGTGTGTGTGTGTGTGTGTGTGTGTGTGTGTGTGTGTGTGTGTGTGTGTGTGTGTGTGTGTGTGTGTGTGTGGACCCAGCAGTTTTAAGAAACATGTGTCAATTCCATCTGCCAGGATGATGGCTTCATGCTTACCCCTCACTGTTGATGGAGGAGTTTCGTGACATGGTTTTCGGCGACGTGTCGAAGTCTGAGTCTGAGCGGTACAGGAAGGACTCCCTGCGCTGGCTCTGGGGGAAAGAAGGGTGGAGCACCAACCCAGGACTCGCCTGCGAATCCATGGGACTGCGTCCTGGAGAGGGACCATTCTCTGAATCGAAGCTGAAGGGTTAGAGAGGACAGGCAGAACATTGGTTTTACATCTGCTGCATTTAATGAAGGTGTTTGTTTTGCCTCTGCTTATCTTATCTCACGGCGACAACACAATAAGCCTAAACACCCAAACATTAGCCACAGAGTGCAGCCTGCTCGAGTGTTTGTAGTTTCTTGGAGAGGAAGTTAATGAAAGAGAGTTGTGACAGCAGCATGAAACATGCAGTTTGACTCTGATGTGCCTCTGGATTGGCAGGCTGCCACCGGGCTGCCCTGAGAGTTACACTCTACTGACAAGTCATATTTTAGAGCAGGTCGTGTTTTAGTGAGTAAAATGAGCCATATCAATCGCTGCGTCTCTCTGTGGCAAAGCTGTCTGTCTAAAGATGAGCTTGATTGAGATTTTAGATTGAATTCTCTATTGGGACGAAACACTGACAGTATTAGGAACACTTCCACGAATTAAGACTGCTTATAATTAACAGGGAACATCAGCATCATAGAAAAAAAAACAGACAAGGTGGAGAGTAAATATATAATACCCAACCAAAATATATATTATGCCAGCACATTGCTGAGTAATATGAAACCCAGTACACAAGGCTGAGAGAAGTGGATCAATTCAAAGACGAGTTTAGCCAAAGGAGACACGGCAACACGCTTCTCTGGTTACACTCATCTTATTTTCAGCCCAACTTTTTTATGAAAAGCAAGAAGATTGATTTTGCAGCTAAGACATTAAGTCAGTATTGATTGAATGGGGTTTTAGAGTTTGGTGTCATGTTACAATAAAATGATGTACAATTTGTTTGTAATACTACTGTCAATGTTTGTGAAAAGTATATTGATACAAAATCTACAAGACTTCAGTGATACTTCAGATATAAAAACATATGAATCTATTATTGTGACTTTCAGGCTGCAGTAGTAGTCAGGTGTTGGGACGGCGAGGACAGATGGGGAGCAGGTTTTTAGTGTTGCTGCAGCATCTATTTGTAATGTAGGATAACTTTTATCTCCACAACATTTCCCCACTTCGCCTAAACTTATCAAACTTTTGGTGTCAACACACTTTTGAACGGTTTTCAATTTGACTTCCTAGATTAAGTGTGATATTTTTAGAATGTACTTCTAAATTGGCCAATTAGGAGCCACTCCTATCCCCAGAAGGCATTGTGAATATGGCTACAGATCAAATTATCATTTAACAAGTTTCCCCGGTAATGAAAAACACATCAGAACGGTCTGCCAGGGGGACCCTCTGCTGCCGCACACGCTAATCCTTCTTCTTATTTTCCTCTGAAAACTTTGGGAGTCATTATTAGACTCCAGTTTCTGAATGTAGCTTTCCCCAAAAATCTAATCCATCTAGAGTGTGTACATGGAATAATTTACTCTGAGATCTTGCATTACAGACACGTTGCACACATAATGCCTAAACCTTGGTAATACAAACATAAATAAGAAAAGTTTCTTTATCAATATAAGATATGTTAGTGAGGACAAATCAGATGCTTGGAAGCATAACTGTACCTGCTCAAACACAGAGATAAGCGTCCGTGCTCCTGAATACTGCGGTTCAGTTTCAAACGTCGAAAGAGACCCGAGCCCCCGTGTCCTCGCCACTGATCGACCGGTGACACCGGGGAGGTGAGAGGGGCTGCGTAAGGAGGACCCTCAGGACTCTCCCTCAATGTCAGCTGTCGTGTCAGCCTCCTCTGACTCATCGCTGCTCTGGCCCTGGTGTAGCCCACCAGTTAAAGAAAACTCCCCCGGCCTCCACTTAAAACCGGCTGTCTCGCTCTGTTTGGCTGTCTCCCTCCCACGCAGTCCCCCCTTATCCACTTTTTAGTCGTCGACTCACGTCTCAGACAGACAGAACCGCAGCACCTGCAAACTGTGCTCACTCCTGAGCAAGATTTAATAAAAGGCCTGATCCTCCCTTTAGTCCTGCTTCCTCATGCCGGAGGAGTCAAAGTGCATACACATGCATATCCCGGCTGTGATCCTCAGGCCCCGGCTGCTTAAACTCC